ATCCTGATGGATGCATTGCCAGAATCACAGGACAATGTAATAGTAATCCTGATGGATGCATTGCCAGAATCACAGGACAATGTAATAGTAATCCTGATGGAGGAATTGTCAGAATCACAGGACAATGTAATAGTAATCCTGATGGATGCATTGTCAGAATCACAGGACAATGTAATAGTAATCCTGATGCATGCACCACCAGAATTACAGGACAGTGTAATAGTAATCCTGATGGATGCACCACCAGAATTACAGGACAGTGTAATAGTAATCCTGATGGATGCACCACCAGAATTACAGGACAGTGTAATAGTAATCCTGATGGATGCATCGCCAGAATCACAGGACAGTGTAATAGTAATCCTGATGGATGCATCACCAGAATTACAGGACAATGTAATAGTGATCCTGATGGATGCATCACCAGAATTACAGGACAATGTAATAGTGATCCTGATGGATGCATCACCAGAATCACAGGACAATGTAATAGTGATCCTGATGGATGCATCACGAGAATCACAGGACAATGTAATAGTGATCCTGATGGATGCATCACCAGAATCACAGGACAATGTAATAGTGATCCTGATGGATGCATCACCAGAATTACAGGACAATGTAATAGTGATCCTGATGGATGCATCACCAGAATTACAGGACAATGTAATAGTAATCCTGATGCATGCATCACCAGAATCACAGGACAATGTAATACAGGGTTCATACACTTTCTTACATGTGAAATTCCATGACTTTCCATGACCTTTCAAGCCAGAATTCCATGACTTTTGAACAAAGTTTTACATGGTAGACCAAAAAATTTGATCCCAAAGCAAAGTGTATATACTGCATCGTCTCTTCTTTTGCATCCCCCCATTAACAACAACAAAATATTTACATTATGCATTCTTTGTGGCATTTAGCTGATCAGTTTGTTTCTGAAAGAGTTCTTCTTCAGACATCTTTGCTGTATGTCACTAGCTGTTTGAAGTTGATTCAGCTTCCTCTGCAAACTTGTCTGCAATGCAGAGTCTTAATTTACGAATTCTTGATGACATTCAGCTGTTCATCAATTTGTTTCTGAATCACTTCTAACTGGGACATCTTCTCCTTTGCTGTACGTTGGAGGCTGTTTGATTTGGATATACAAGTTAATCTGCCAGGCTTCCTCTGCAAACTTGTCTGCTGATTCTTGAAGACTTTTGATATCTGCTTGCAGTCTAGACTTCTTAGCTTTCAGTTCATCTATCTCATCAAGCAGTCCTTTTCTTTTTCTTTCCTACTTTTCCTTTTCACGTTTCTGCTCATCAAGATACATATAGTATTTTTGCCTACCTGCTGAAGCGGCTAACATGAGCGACTTGTCGATAATAATGTTCTAAATTCCTCCTATGTATTTGATATGATCATATATAGCCCTCAAAGATATTAGCGAGTGCCCTAGAAGATTGTCCTCTTCAACTTCGTTGTTGACGGAGAATCCTCTTTCAATAGAGGCTTGTCCATGGGACAAGACAAGCAACATGCAGACCACCTTTAATAAAGATGAATAGCGAGACTCAGACAGAAATGTGCACATCAGAGAGTCCAGTCTGTCTTTCTTTGGATCAAATTCTCTCATCGCTACGCTTCTTGATGCCTCATCACATGCTTCTGAGTATTCTCTTAAGATGTCATCACATGAATCCTCAAGTCTGTTTGCATCAGTAAGGGAGCTAAGCATCCTTTTCAGCTTTGTAGTAGTTTTATTTGTCTTTTGCCATGCTCTTTGGATTTAAGCATCCCATATTTCTCACAAGTGCATACTTAAGCGGACATTTGTCAATGAGCTTGCGGGTCATTGCAGCAAGAAACTCTTTTGCTTGGACGTGAAATTCCAGAATCCTTCACTCACTGATGATGTTTTTTGCTTTCAGATCCTTTAGCTTTTTCCCAGTGTAGAATCCAATATCAACCTTGGTCAAAGGCAGCTGAATGGCCTCGCTGCTAATATCTACCTGCATTATCTTGTAAGGAGAAGTAAGTGTACTCCTGTCAAGTTTTAAGAATCGCTGCATAAGGGAAGCAAGCATTCTGGTTAGCTCTTCGGCTAAGAAGGGCAACATTGGCACATCAGTTTGCTAGTCTGTTAGAAAGGGATTGACCAACTTTGTCACAGATATGAAAAAGCTCAGTCTTGCTGGAAAATCAGCCATCTTGGTACACTTCTGAACAGTTTCAAATGACTTGTTCTTTGGGTGAGAGATTTTCTTCTCTTCAGCTGCCTTAATATACATACATACATTCTCCCAGATGTTGATCGCTCTCTCTGCAACAGGAAGATCTTCCAGCCATCGAGTCTTGCAAAATTTGAGTGGCATGGTATGATCTCCAGTTATCTTCTCATAATTCTCTCTTCTGGCTGGGGCATCAGTAAACAAATAATACAAGGATGATAGGAAGCTCTCCACCTCCCACTCAGCAGCCTT